AGACAGAGACAGAGACAGACAAAGACATATATGGAGATATTGGAGAATGAGAGGGGGGAGCAAGAGAGGGTAAAGACAAGCAAGAAAGAATAGAGGAAGAGTAAGATGAATGGCCAGCAAAGGGAGGCAGGGGACCCCTTTTGAAACATAGACGCGGACCTGTGCCCCAGGTGTGGATTCTCACGAACCTGTAATAGCTTGTAATGGCAAGCCTTTGAGCCCCCAGAAAATGTTGCTAGCACAATAGGACGGAGTCTGCCCTGGAGTTCCTGCACCAGGAAGTCGACGGAAAAAGTCAAACCTTTTAATGGAGAAAAGAGTACGATGCGAGAATCCAATAAAAAAAATTGACACTCACTTTTTGGTATGTATGTCCTGGACGCGCAGATTGACCCTTTGGAACTCTAAGGCAGCAGCGAAGGCAACGGCAAGAGGCAAAGCTCCAGGAAGGGAAGGGACAGTTTAGCAATAGAATTGTACCTACAGCATTGGGAACTCCTTTCTCCACATCTTTTTCTTTTTTTTCTTCTTTTTTTTTGGACCCTTTCTCGATTTATGTGTGTCATCCTTGCGCAGGGGCCATGCTAATCTTCTCTGTATCGTTCCAACGTTAACGGATGTCCCCAAGGACAACCTTTCTCCACGTCTGCTTGAAACATATAATCATTATAATGTCATTTTCGCAGAGGAACAGATCAGTGCACAGATGTCCTACGGGATCATATCTCTACTGTATAAGAAAGGAAACAAAGCGGACATCGGAAATTGGAGACCAATCTCTCTGTTGAATGTGCCGTACAAGATCTTAGAAAAGACATTGGCCAGAAGATTCTCAGTCTCCCTCCCTTATCTAGTGGGAAGAGATCAGGAAAGCATTTTGTACAGGGTAGATCGATATTCGACAACATTGTTACTTCCTTGGAATCATCAGAGGCCATTCATAAAGAAACAACTTGTGATCTAGCCATTCTAATATAATCTTATAGACCTCGAAAAAGTGTATGATTGTGTCAACTCGGCGTACGGATTCACCAGGCTGGCTCAAACACCTAGGCTTCGGCCCGAAGATTCAAACAAGGGGGTAATAGGACCTTTACACGGAATCTCCAAATCCTCGGTCATCATCAATAATACGGTTTTTAACCCTTGTTGTTTCTCTATCCCGTTCACTCAGACAGGGTTGTCCTCTTGCTCCTTTTATTTTTGTGCTGCAGCAGGATGCTCTTGTTGTAATAATAATATTATTAGATCTCACTCTCAGATGGAAGGTTTGCGAATCCAGCACGGTGAACGCAGGGTTAAGCCGTTAGTGGAGTGGATGGCCTCTTGGCGGTCACACCCCTAACCACCCAGCTATCGCTCAATGCCCTGAAAGAGTGTCTGGGGGAGTATGCAGGTCTCTCTAAGCTGCAGTCAATTGGAACAAATCGCTGTATTTTTCCCCAGCTCGGTATGCTATTTGAGTCGACTTGTGAATGAAGAGGATCGCCAAAGGTTCTTCAGAGAGGTACCTAGGAGTGCAGGTGGCTCTATGCAACTGTGTATGGAGATGAAGGAGAGTGGTTCAACGTACGTATCTCAAGATCATGGGGACTTGCACCTAATCCTCCTCGTTAAGTGGGCCCCAGCGTTGAAGGCTCCATCTATTGGTGGGGAGAAGCACCTGCTGGAAATCGGGTCTAGCGTCCCAATACAATGATATGATGAGTGTCGCTGCAAATCGGGTCCAGCATCCATCCCGATTCAATGATTGGTGAAGATGACATTAGTGTGCATCCAATACAGCAACTACGTGATTGTGTTCATTCGGTCGGTTCATGTCATGTGAAGCCAAATCCGTATTCCACCATATCTGCCATGTCACTCTAAATAGCAGAGGCATTGATTACTTCCCAGCAACAGGGAAGGATTGACCTCCTGCTATCGAAGCCTGACCCTGGTTTAAGCCACCACTACCTCCTAGATCTGTGCTGCGCGCCAAGTTCAAAATTTACGGGCACACCCCTCTGTTTTTTTTTTTGCCTCTGGCTCGCTCGCTCCACGAGCCAAAGAGGCCTGGGAGGCCCAGCCCCCAAACACCATGGATGTAAACCAATTTGTTGCCCAAGTTCTCCTGTGAAAGGTATAGGTATAAGAACATCTTCTGCAAGGCCCTTATCCCCGTGTGATGGGTACCAAGTTCCGCTAGTGACAGAATAAGAAATACATCAAAAGCGGAAGAGTTTACTCACACACACCAGGGGCCAGGTCCCACTAGCAGCGTTGAGTTTCCTCAACACCTGAATCTGGGCGTGTTTGAGGAGATGTGCAGAAATGGCGTTGAGTTTCCTCGAACGCACATCCCCACAAACACGTCCAGACACATCCCCACAAACACGTCCAGATTCAGGCGTTGAGCAAACTGAACGCTGCTAGTGGGACTTGGCCCCAGGAGCGTTGAGTTTCCTCAACACCTGAATCTGGGCGTGTTTGAGGAGATGTGCAAAAATGGCATCGAGTCTCCTCAACCGCACATCCCCACAACCACGTCCAGATTCTGGCGTTGAGGAAACTCAACGCTGCTACCGGTGTAAGACTTGGCCCCAGGACTTTCTCAACAATTCTGGCCATATAACTGTTTCCATCGGGGGAAACATTCCGGGCCTCCCTCCACTACTCACCAAATATGTGCAAAATGAGAATGAATCTTCCGCTAGAACATGGGAAGATGCACCACCATATTTTTTGTATTTTGCCAAGTTTTGTGCATGTGTTGAGTAGTGGAGCCAGGCCCTCAAGAAGCTACAAGCAGAGTATGCCCGAAAGCCATACCCACCCTGGCAGGACACAGAAGAGAACAAAGAAGAGGGACACAGAAGAGGGACACAGAAAGAGGGACACAGAAGAGAGAAGAGGGAAACAGAAGAGGGACACAGAAGAGAGAAGAGGGACACAGAAGAGGGACACAGACGAGGGACACAGAAGAGGGACACAGAAAGAGGACATTACACTCACCTTCACAAGCTCATCCAGAACTTGTATTGCCAAGTGCAGGGCTCTGGTCGGGAGCCACCTGTCACAAACGGCAAGGCATCACCCAACATCACAAATTTTCTCAGTTCATAATACCTCCAAATCTCAGCTGCAAAAATAAAAGGGGGGGGGGGGAGCCTCAGCTGCAAAAATAACGGGGGGGAGGGGGAGCCTCAGCTGCAAAAATAAGGGGGGGAGGAAAGCCTCAGCTGCCTAGATTAGCCCCATTCTTATGGAAGCGGTCGCTACCAGTCTCTGGCCTGGCCATTTGAAGGACCCAAAGGTTCATATGCTTCGACACCATTTGTATTGCATCGCCCCCCCCTCCAACCCCCGAACCCCCAATTTCCCGTGGGCCAATTGGTGCAATGTGTAGGGCTTGGTTCCACAAACGGTCAAATGAGAAAACGGCAAATGTATAATCCCACCTTCTTCGTTAAGATACGGCTCTGTCTCTTATACACATCTAGATGTGTATAAGAGACAGCTCTCTCTCTCTCTCTCTCTCTCTCTCTCTCTCTCTCTCTCTCTCTCTCTCTCTCTCTCTCTCTCTCATACACACGCACCCACACACACAGGGAGGAGACCTTGGAGGAGTGGCGAGGGAGGAGGAGGCTGGAGAGGAGGTCGGAGATGGGGGATTACCAGGAAGGAGACTGTCTCTTATACACATCTAGATGTGTATAGAGAGAGAGAGAGAGAGAGAGAGAGAGAGAGAGAGAGAGAGAGAGAGAAGGATCAATAATGTCTAATAGAGGATGTGAGGACAGAGCTAATGGAGAATACCTGTCTGACAGACAGAAGAAGGAAAAGAACGGGAAAGATAGAGACAGGAGTAAATGGAGTACAGGGTGGGGGGATAGAGGGGGTGGAAGGCCACTCACAGAGATGAGATGAACGAGGGGTTAAGAAACCGACACCAATTTTTCTCGATGGACACGCCGCAGGGCATAGTCACACGACTTCCCTTCTGAAGTTTTTTTTCCGCTTTCGGGGACAGAGGCTTGACCCTTTTTGGGGGACAGACTGCAAAGCCGAAGCTATGTCCGATCAGCATGAATTAATTAACAGCAGGCCAAGCACACCCCTCGAGCGCGCGCCCGTGTGTGCCTTCTGGAAGGCGTTCGCGAGCGCGCGCTCGAGCACCACTCATTCGATGGTGATCAATTGCATGCATGCATGCATGCTGCAGTACGTGCTGGATGATGCTCGAGCACGCGCTCCAGCCCGCACTACCGCCCGCGCACCCTCATAATGGCTGTACCAGACTGGGAAGATAGCTTGGGTGCATTGTCTTCGGGGGAAGACGGTAGTCGATCAGTGCGCCCCCTGCCATGCTCGATTGCATGCATGCTGTAGTGCGCACTCGATGATGCTCGAGCACGCGCTCCAGCCTGCTCTACCGTCTTCCCCCAATCCAACGCACCCTCACAATGCCTGTACCAGACCGGATAGATAGCTTGTATACATGCATTATTAGGCTGCGTTGCGTTCGGTTGAAAGACGGTAGTCGATCAGTGAGTGCGCCCCCATGCCACTCGGCGCTGCGCTCGAATGCGCTCCAAGCCAGTCTATGTTGCGCTCGAGTGCGCTCCACGCCACTCCAATGCGCTCGGGCGCGCTCTACTACGCTAGGAATGGACATATAGGGGGTCACTCCACTACCCACCAAATGTGCAAAATGGGAACGAATCTTCCGCTAGAACATCGGCAGATACATCGCCATATTTCTTTTGTCTTCCCTGCATCTGGACAGAAGTGGAGCGCGGGCCATAGTTTAGCTTGGGGAAACGGGACTGGGATGGACGCCCGAGACCAGAAAGTGCATATCGTTCCCACAATTTGACTCTTTTTCTTTTATCTTTTCCTTTCTTGATTTCCCTTTTCTTTTGGATCAGTGATCAGATC